ACATCGTTCCTTGGAGCTTTCTTCACCCATGTCTTTGGTACCACTTGCAAAATCGAAGTTACTTTATAACAAGTTATGATTTTGACCATTAGAGTTTCTCTTGGTGGATTTTTGTGATTCAGTTGATGGTAATGAAACTACAAAGTTGTGATATTGGTGGTAATCAGTTCAAATGTAGCTACAGTTTCAATATCCTATGGTTGTTCTTACGATTGTTCAATATCCTATAGTTTTTTCTTGGCTTTTGCTCATTAGGGGTTATATTGAACTTGCATGAGTTAGAGTTATTTTCTTCTCGAATTCCACATGAAGCTAAATGTTCTTATGATTGTTCATTATCCTTTAGTTTTTACTTGGCTTTTGCTCATTAGGGTCTTCTTCCAAAACCACAAGTGTTGTCTAAAACACAACAACTTCTTAAATCTAAGTTAAAGTTTTGGGCCTTGAATCTTTTCAAGCAGAGCATGAAACTATATCACTATTTAATCTGATGCATGATTAAAACTTAAGCTTTTTGCAAGAAGCTGGCCTTTTACGGTGTACAACAGGTAGGTTTGGGTTTTGTCTTTAGGTGTAAGTCAAAGCTCTAGTTTCTTTCTTAGGTGCACGTCCTTCTCTTTCAATTTTACTACTTGTTGATTGCGTTTTGATACTTATTATAACCTCAATTAAGCCAACACATCTCTAAAGCTCACACCAACACTAACTTTTAAACACAATTATAAACATCAACACATAATAAACCACAAATTTTATGAAACGCAAACTCCACACACAAATGCGAGTATGTGAGCAAAAATCTTAAGATTTATATCTGGGTTTTTATATTTGTACATATACAAATCCAAAAAAAACATTCAAAAATACCTTCAAAATGATCTAAGAAAATGTTACTTGTGATTCACTTGTAACTAGATTTTGACCCACGCCAAGCGTGGGATTAAATTACTAAATATATTTCTAAAAGATTTAATATTTAAATGTGCATGATAAATCATATCATTTCTAATATTTATAATTTTACAAAATGATATGCATTGTGCAAAAATATAATCAAATTAAATTTTGATCAAGTATATTTTGATGTCATTAGTTTTAATATTTTTATGTGAAACCATGATCATAACATATGAATTTATTTTATTTCCATAGATTTTAAGTGTACAATTAATTTTTAGTGTTCC